CCTCAAGATAACCAAGATAAACCCATACCACAGAAGTAGCAAGGTGGGGGTCCACATCCTGTGAGGGAGCCCTGACGCACGAGGGACAGCCTGGGGGACGTCCCCACGTCTCCGGATGGCCAACATGACCGGATACGGAGGGGAAGCTGCAGGAAAATGTTGATAAAATCTATGGAACAAATAATATCAGCATGAAACGTCGTGGGTCGTAGTGTTGGTTGATGGCGATGTGAGGATGTGGTGTTGGGTTGATCGTGTCTTGATCACTGAACACAGGTTCATTCCGAACACAACCAAACCTCTCTTGCCTCAGTAACAGTTACTCCCCCCATGTAATTCTCCACACCAGACCCTTGAGATTTACCACTAGATTTATACACGAACTCAATGAAAGAACACATGGGAAGGTGATTAAAAGCCGTCGGGGTTTCCCATTTAGTTACATAAATATTCTCTGATAATAATTAAGACATTAACCTTCTTTATTTGGATAAATCATCTACCCATTCCAATAACCCCACTGTACCTCCCGGTCACCACCTGACCTCGTAACCTCCGCCTAGGTCCCTACTACAGAATTATCACTACAACTCTCCACACCCGGTTAGTCTTCCGTACAATACTTCCACACTGCAGACTGTACTTGGTCAACAAGATCACATCAAGTCCCCACACTTGGTCGGTTCACTTCGCTGCTGCCACAGACGGAGGAGATAAGGAGAACTTCCTAGAACCGCAGCTGACACAAGACTCCCTCCAGCGGACATAGCCTCAAACATGTCACCCCGTATCCCAAGGAGGGTATAATCCGATTAACTGTAAATCTCATTGTTCCAAGAAACTTGAGGTCACCCTTTGTCCTCTTGGCTGGTACATTCGTCAGGTTGGCACCGGATGTCTTAATCACTTTTGGCCTTATCTCGATGTGTGACCTGCCTGAATACTTAAATGATTGGTGGAAGAGTATGCTAAGTGTTCTAGTGCTTGATTCATTATCTAATATTCACTCCTAACTTGTGGATTACAACACCACTCCCTTCCTTAAACATGTATATGTTTATATGCATCATTGCAATGGTTGCATTAGCGCAAGAGCCTGGAGGATGCACCCATCATATATGTACAACTAAAAATTCATACTATTTCATGTGCATTAAATCCTCATCATAGCATGGGTGACATAATCTGTAATATTGTTTACCCATACCTCAATATATACATATACCTGAACTGCTGACATATTAATACATACATAACTATACACATAACATGGACCAGACTGCTGGCATTAAACATATATGACACTTGTCATTAATGTTTACACAACACATAAATATAAGGTTCTTCATCCTCAGTAACAATTTCCTAAAATATTTACATCCTGCCCTGTACTGTTCACATGGGGGCTTACAATGACCACACCTCGACAAAATGTTTCACTGGCCGCATCCCTTCTCTTCTGTCTTCGTCCTCCATGGTTGCTAGGTCATAGATCCTCCATGACCCAGACAAAACCCAGGCTGTCCAGCCTGGTGAATGTTGTCAATGTCCCATCGTTGCTCTGGGCTAACGTGATCCTGGCATCCAGAACAACGGAGATTCCTACCCTAGGGTCATGTCCCCTCGGGTCCATGCTGCTGTCTCGTTCCAGGGCACCACCCCAGAACGGTGAAGATACCTCACAGCTCCCTGGTCATCCTTCCTCGCTGTTGCTCACCACAGCTGCAGCACATTACTCTACGCCCAGCTGCCCAGAGTCAGTTCATCTCACACCTATTATTCCCGAGCCTCCTGGCTCGATCTCATAAGTACATGACACTCCCTCGTCTCCGATGATAAAGATTAAGCAACCCAACAGGTGGCACGGTCATGAATATCTCGTAACCTCGGCTCCTTGCTCTTCTCTCCCCTTATATAGCCTGAGCGCAGCTGCAAAGCCATTGCAGCTGGCCCTTATCCCTGCCTGGATGTCACGGGGCGAATCTCACCTATACTGTTACGTTGGCTTCTCTTCCTTCCCCCTTTTTTTTCTCAAGAGTAACCTCAGTGTATCCTCAAGGCTTTCCTTCTACTCTACCTGAAGCTCTGTGACATAGTCCCGGGAGACCTTCTCAAGCCTATCACTTAGTAATGGCGCCTCCAGGATGCTTTCCCGCTGGGATAAACAGGAAGGGAAGTTATCAGTAAGCTGATGTTCACGGAAGCTGGGCTCTAACAACATCCTCATTCAGTTTGGGATGAAACTTGAAGGTAGGAAGTTGTTGGTTGTTTTTGTGGTGGTGGTGGAGGTGAACCTACCTACCTACCAGTGGAGGTAGTGGTGGGGATGGTTGTTGTTGTGGTGGTGGTGGTGGAGGTAGTGGTGGAGGTAGTGGTGGGGATGGTTGTTGTTGTAGTGGTGGTGGTGAGGATAGTTGTTTTGTTTGTGGAGAAAGTGGTGGGGATGGTTGTGGTGGTGGTGGAGGTTCACCTCCTTGATTACCCGTGATTACCAAGCAGTAATCAAGGGTTAGTAAGATTTAGCTCTTCATGCCCCGGCAACTAGAGCCTTGTTATGTTATAATTTAACAGTTTGACGTTCGAATTCTTTATCGAACCAGGGTTTAAAGATGTGGCTGGAGGTGGCTTCCACAACTTCTTGACCATCATATCCTCCTGAGTGTCTTTTCTCCTCCAATGTTGTGAGGTGTTGCTCCCTCTACGTAGCCTCATTGCTCAAGCCTCTTAGCTCCGCTTCAGATTGCGCGGATTCCAGGCCGGTAATGTATATATATTCCAGTATTGATCGAACAAAGGCTGTGTGCAGTAGATTGCTTTGAAAGAGACCTGGGGACAGATTCACGAAACAGTTACGCAAGTACTTACGAACCAGTACATCTTTTCTCAATCTTTGGCGGCTTTGTTTACAATTATTAAACAGTTAAATATCTTCGAAGCACCAGGAGGCTGTTTATAGCAATAACAATAGTTGATTGGGAAGTTTTCATGCTTGTAAACTGTTTAATAAATGTAACCAAAGCCGTGAAAAATTGAGGAAAGATGTACACGTTCGTAAGTACTTGCGTAACTGCTTCGTGAATCTGGTCCCTGATAAGAAGATTCTGAACTACGTTCAATTGTTTACCGTATGTCTCACACGCTGCCGATGTTCACGAGATTATGTGTGCCTCTGGTGTTCGGTGTTGGAATTATAGCCGCTCCTAAATATTTTCCACTTTGAGACCCCGAGATGCCATCCCCCTTATGATGTAGATATCTTCTGGGTTCTTCTTCCTTTCTTACCTGCATTACCTTCTATCTTGAGGTTATCTTGAGATGATTTCGGGGCTTTAGTGTCCCCGCGGCCCGGTCCTCGACCAGGCCTCCACCGCCAGGAAGTAGCCCGTGACAGCTGACTAACACCCAGGTACCTATTTACTGCTAGGTAACAAGGGCATAGGGTGAAAGAAACTCTGCCCATTGTTTCTCTCCAGCGCCCGGGATCGAACTCTGGACCACAGGATCACAGTTCAGCGTGCTGTCCGCTCGGGGAGCCGGTCGGCCGAGTGGCTTTCGAGCGGCTTACCTTTCACATAACAATTCTACCAACCTTTTGTTTGGCCACTTGTGGAGTGGTTGATGGTCTTCGTGTAACTTTCTGCCGACCTTCTTCATTCTTACATTCCTCATCAGTGTACAATATATGAATAATATTATGCATCTCTCACATGACCACGAGTAACACTTCAGGGTCGGCACTCCGTGTGCTGCCTCGGCACCCCTTGGCACTAGTCTGACCGCCACGGCAGGCGGTAGAATGGACTGCGCTCGGGATTCGTAGTCCTAAGGTTCCGGGTTCGATCCCCGGTGGAGGCGGAAACAAATGGGCAGTTTCTTTCACCCCGATGCTCCTGTTCACCTAGCAGTAAATAGGTACCTGGAAGTTAGACAGCTGGTACGGGCTGCTTTCTGAGGGTGTGTAATAAAAAGGAGGCCTTGTCGAGGACCGGGCCGCGGGGACGCTAAGCCCCGAAATCATCTCATGATACCTCAAGAAGATGGTCGAGGACCGGGCCGCGGGGACGCTAAGCCCCGAAATCATCTGAAGACACCTCAAGAAGATGGTCGAGGACAGGGCCGCGGGGACGCTAAGCCCTGAAATCATTTCAAGATAACCTCAAGATTGTCACTCTCACACAACCCTACACGTACGTAAGGAACCCTCACTCCTAATAGCCCGTCGCATTTTGAAGTATACATTAACTAAGGCCAAAAGCTGTCGTACTAGAAAACGGTAGCGGCTCGCAAAATTGACATACTGTCCTGTTTTCTGTTTGTGGATTCTCTGGTAGGTTAGGATAAGGGCACTTTAGTACGACAATCTCGTGACGTTAGGGACGCCGACGAGAACAGGCTGACGTACGAACACACACATTCCCCACTTTATATAGTACTGAATTTATTGAATACATATTGAATTTATATTCAGGAACGAACTACACACACCAAAACTTAATAACATCATGGCATACTGTTTAAAAGTGCCGTATTTCATGGCAAAATTCGTTAAAATACTGAAAAAGCCGTCAGGATGTTGATCCGGACAATTTCTTCAGGTCAGATGTAAAACAAACAAGGAACAACGGGTTCAAGCTCAACAAGCTACAATGTAGGACTGAGAACAGGAGATGCTTTGTCACCCATAGGGTTATAAACCCGTGGAACCGCTTACCCGCCGAAGCCGCGAACCCACCTACCATGCGAAAACTCTGTTGAATTTTAAAATCCAACTGGAAAATATCATCAAATGGTGGAACCTTTGACAAACCACCGGCTTTCTGTCCTCGTCGTTGGTACTAGTGTTAGTGGCCTGGAGGCAAAATATATGTAGCAATGAGTCTGACGATTATAATGTAGATTATTATAAGTTATTGATCATGTATAATAATTGGGCCGCAACATAAACTAATACTGATCAATTTGACTGCCTTTGAATAAGATTCTTCCTATTATTTCTTGAGGAGAATGTTGCACCTGGTGATCGTCTTGTGGCTGGCCACCAGGGCGGCGCTCTTCAACATGGACGCCACCCGGCCGCTGGTGCTCACCGGCAACAAGAAGTCCCAGTTTGGGTTTAGTGTCGCCATCTGGCCGAACTTTGGCGAGCCCTTGTGAGTAGACGAGGCTGTGTGAGAGAGAGAGAGAGAGAGGATGAAATTTTTGTTTTCCAAAGTAGGAAGCTCATTCAGGTCAGTGACCTTGGGCTCAAGTGACCCATGGTTGTTGGTGTCAAGGTGGGGGCCTACCCCTTCCTCCAGGGTGCCAGCATTGTTATCCTACAAATGCCACCATTTCCATTCAACCCATTTAGCATTGTATTGGGAAGCCTGGGCTCCCCAATCAACATCTTTATATAATATATATTTCATTGTACTGAAGTTTTGTATGAAAAATTATGAATTTTCAATATTTTTTCATATCCGTATAGTATTATCTAGGTTTTGTTTGACTATCTAGATTATGTTAAATATATTATATATTGTATGTATTTCATGTGCTGCTTTACCATATATATTATATAGGGACTTACAACCGCGGTAACATTGTACAATAATGGTTTATTCAATCAATCCGCACTTTCCATCCAAGTCTTGTGTGCTATCTAATCATTCATCAAATCTAACATTTATCCCAGTCATCCATCCGTGAATACATCGATACCTTACAGTTATCACCCGATATCTTATCCATACATTCATCCACCTTCTCAACCCATCGTCAATTTATTTATGTACCCAGCCACACTAACCATCCGGCTTGATCCATCAGACTAGTGGTGGGAGCCCCGCAGGACGCTGGAGGTGCCAGCGTAGGAGAGGATGAAGGACAGAGCAAGGTGAGGATCATCCCTGGGACGGTGTACCTCTGTGACCCCATCAACAACTTCTCCTGTTCCACCCACCGCACCAAGTTCCAGCCCCGCTACCATGGCGGTGAGTTTAGAAGTGTCTAGTACCCATGAGATGATCATTGGAGCATCTTCTTGAGATGATTTCGGGGGCTTAGCGTCCCCGCGGCCCGGTCCTCGACCAGGCCTCCTTTTTGTTACACATTCCCCAGGAAGCAGCCCATAGCATCTGTCTAACTCCCACGTACCTATTTACTGCTAGGTGAACAGGAGGCATCGGGGTGAAAGAAACTCTGCTCATTTGTTTCCGCCTCCGTCGGGAATCGAACCCGGAACCTTACGACTACGAATACCCAACGCTGTTTACTCAGCCGACAGGCCCCCACGATGAGAATTGAACCATTGCCCTTTGTAAACAAAACGCGCATATGGATTCGGGGGCCTCTGTTTTATTTGACCGCTCCCTGGAGTTATATCACAGCAATCATATAGATATCGGACGTTTTTGGATCTGTGAGCTGTATCCATGGCACACTGGATTAGTAAGCAGTGGCTAGCAAAGTATTAAGATTTAGTCATGAGCAAAGAGGTACTGTCATAGGGCTTACGACCTCACCAATATCAGTATAAATGGATTAATCCAAGAGGAGGTCAGTTATTAGGAGCAATGTAGTTACTTTGTTAGGGCGTGAACCCACTCTTTGACTACGGGCGTGAACACTTTTTTGGACTCTGGGACCTTCCGGGCCTCTCTTTGCGGCGGCCTTGCGGCGCTAGTGTCTTAATTTGCCTTGCGGCAGTTTCATGTGTAGCCTTGCGGCGTTTGTGGGAAATTCGAGTATACCTGGGATATATGCAGCATTTTACCATTCCCCAGGATGCCACCCACAACAGTTGACTAACACACAGGTTCCTAATCACAGATGGGTGAAAAGAGGCAACGGGTGTAAGGAGACTTGCCCATACGTCTCGCCCTGCCTGGGATGTGTAGCATTAATAGGTCTACCATGCTATATCAACCTTTCTGAGGGACTCAACACAGAGGTGGGCTCGGCATTTATAATTAAGATGAGATAGACAGGTCGGTAGCTGGTAGTTAACTGACACTAGGAATCGGATTTCAAAAAGGCTTGTGTTCTCAGTAACAATCTAACAATCATTTATTGCCTTTACCACAGAAAATTATGTATAGAAGATAAATAGGATAATCTACCTTAATAAGTGGTTACAAGTGCTACTAAGCTTCCCTTAGGAATTCGTCTCTTCGTCAGAAAGGATTCTAACTTTTACTGTATAATATATGGCACTCAATAATCATGTCTCCTAATCACTACAGCACCAATTCGGATGTACAGGAGTCCTAAATGTAGGTACTCGGGATAATGACACACTTGGGGAACTGTGTTCGTCAATCACGTGACCTCTCACCCCAGTCGTCTCAATTACTCACAAGATGAGTATTGGTGCATATGTACTGCATCACTGCATCCCGTGCGCAATACTCACCACTAATGTTAAAAAGTTTACCCTTATCTACCCTGTCAATTCCTCTGAGAATTTTGTAAATAATGATCATGTCTCCCCTTACTCTTCTGTCTTCCAGTGTCGTGAGGTGTATCTCACGCAGCCTTTCCTCGTAACTCATGCCTCTTAGTTCTGGGACTGGCCTAGTGGCATACCTCTGAACTTTTTCCAGCTTCGTCTAGTGCTTGACTCGGTACGGGCTCCATGCTGGGGCCGCATACTCCAGGATTGGTCTTACATATGTGGTATACAAGGTTCTGAATGATTCCTTACACAGGTTCCTGAAGGCTATTCTGATGTTAGCCAGCCTCGCGTATGCTGCAGATGTAATTTTCTTTATGTGGGCTTCAGGAGACAGGTTTGGTGTGATATTAACTTCTGGTTCTTTCTCTCTGTCCGTTTCATGAAGTACTTCATCTCCCATCCGGTATCCTTTGTCTGGCCTCCTGTTTCTTCCGCCTATTTTCATTACCTAGCATTTAACCGGGTTGAATTTTAGTAGCCATTTGTTGAACGATTCATTCAGTCTGTCTAGGTCATCTTGTAGCCTCCTACTATCATTCTCTGTTTAAATCCTCCTCATAATTTTTGCATCATCAGCAAACAATGAGAGGAACGATTCTATATCCTCTCGGAGATCATTTATATATATCAGAAACAGTATAGGTCCAAGGACTGAACCCTGCGGGACTCCACTGGAGACGTCTCGCCAATCTGAGACCTCACCCCTCACAATGACTCGCTGTCTTCTGTTGCTTAGGTACTCCCTTCTCCAGTGGAGTACCATCCCTTTCACTCTTGCCTGCATCTACAGCTTTTTCACTAACCTCTTGTGTGGTACTGTGTCAAAGGCTTTCTGGCAGTCCAAAAAAATGCAGTCTGCCCCATCCCTCTTTTTCTTGTCTGAATTTTTTTGCCTGGTCGTAGAATTCAATTAATCCTGTGATGCAGGGCTTACCATCCCTGAACCCATGTTGATGCTGTGTTGCAAAGTTCCCTCACTCCAGATGTTCCAGTAGCTTTTTTCGCACAATCTTCTCCATCATCTTGCATGGTATGTAATTTAGGGACACTGTTCAGTGCCACCTGTCTATCCCCCTTCTTGTATATCGGGACTACATTAGCCGTCTTCCAAATTTTGGGCAGTTCCCCTGTTACCAGTGATTTGTTAGACACTATGGAGAGTGGCAGGCACGGTGCTTCTGCTCCTTCCTTTAGTATCCAAGGGGAGATTCCATCTGGGCTTATAGTCTTTGTTACATTCAAATCTAGCAAAAGCTTCCTCACCTCCCCACTGGTAATATCAAACTCTTCTAGTGGTTCCTGGTTAACTATTTCCTTTCTTATCTCTCGAACTTCCCCTTGCTCTCATGTGAAGACCTCCTGGAATTTCATATTCAATTCCTTGCACACTTCCTTGTCGTTTGTAATGAATCTGTCTGCCCCTATCCTCAATTTTATTACTTGTTCCTTTAGTGTTGTTTTTCTCTTGATGTGGCTGTGCAGCAATTTAGGTTGAGTCTTTGTCTTGATTGTGATGTCATTTTCGTATTGTCCTTCTGCCTCTCTTCTCAACCTGACATATTCATTCCTGGTACTCTGGTAACTTTCTCTGTTCTCAAGTGTCCTGTTATTTTTATAGTTTCTCCACGCCCTTGTACTTCATTGCTTAGGTAGACTCATCTCTGATTAAACTATGGGTTTCTCATCTGCATTTCACTGTTTTCCTTTGGGACCGGGACAAACTTGTCTGCTGCCTCCTTACACTTCTGCGTGATGTAGTCCATCATGTCTTGGGGCCGTCTTTCCCCTGAGCTCTGTTTCCCATGTTATATCTGTTAGGAATTTTCTTATCCCCTCATAGTTTCCCTTTCGGAATGCCAGCCTTTTGTTTTCAGTTCTCCTTCTCAAGTATTTTAACCTTTCTTCAACCAGATACTCAAACGTCAGTACACTGTGGTCGCTCATTACTACCGGGGTTTCAAAACTGATTTCTCTTATGTCGGAGTCGTTCAGAGTGAAGTCTAGGTCAACTCTCGCTGGTTCATCGTTTCTTCTCATCCTTGTGGGTTCTCAGACATGCTGGCTTAAGAAGTTTCTTGTCGCCACCTCCAATAGTTTGACTTTCCATGTCTCCTTACCTCCATGTGATTCCTTGTTCTCCCAGTCTGTCCTTCTGTGATTGAAGTCCCTCATGATGAGCAGATTGGATCTGTTTCTACAGGCAGCAGAGGCTATCCCTCTCAATTATAGTGTTAACTGTCATGTTGTTGTTGTCATACTCCTGCCTGGGTCTTCTGTCATTTTGTGGAGGGTTATATATCACTGCTACTGCTATTCTTGGTCCTCCCATTGACATGGTGCCTGTTATGTAGTCTCTGAATCCCTCGTAGCCCGGGATAGCCATCTCCTTGAAACTCCATTCCTTTCTAATTAGTAGGGCCACTCTACCTCCTCCTCTTCCTTACCTCTTTTTCCTTATTACAGTGTAGTCCTGGGGAAACACAGCATTCATTATGATTCCTGAGAGTTTTGTTTCTGTGAGTACTGATTACATCTGTGTTCACTTCTTGTGCTCTTTCTCTTAGTTCACTTGCCTTTCTTGTAATTTCATCTATGTTTGAGAACATTACCCTGAAATTGATTCTCCTCTGTCCTTCCTCAGTTTCTGTTGATTCCCCTGAAGCAGGGAAACAGGGAGGGTCCGGGGTGGGAGGGCCTAGGATGGGGGACCTGGGGAATCTGATGTGTGGGGGGGGGCTGTGAGGGTCTGGTACAGGGAGGGTGGTGGAGGAGGGAGGGCTTGGGGGGGGGGGAGACGAGAGTACTTGGGGGGAGGGTGAGAGGGGGAGGCTTAGGGGGGTGAGAGAGGGGAGGCTTGGGGGGTGAGAGGAGGAGGTTTGGGGGATTGTGGGAGGAGGGAGGGGTGGGGGAGATGGGGGAGAAGGGAGGGCTTAGAGGGGTGGGGGAGAAGGGAGGGCTTAGAGGGGTGGGGGAGAAGGGAGGGCTTAGAGGGTGGGGGAGAATGGAGGGCTTAGAAGATGGGGGAGAAGGGAGGGCTTGGGGGGGAGAAGGTAGGGCACGAGGGAAAAGGGAGGGCTTTGAGGGGAGGAAACAGAGGTGCTGAGGAGGGGGGAAGAGTGGGGGTAGGGTGCCCTAGGTGGGCACCTAGTGGGGGTCTGGTAGGGATTGGGGCAGGTAGGGGCATCTATTGGGTGGAAGGTGGGGGTGGTGCTTCTCCCACTGTGGCTGTTGAACTGCTTGTGGAGGGTTCCTCCATCCCCTCTGGCATTGTAGGGTTCAAGGTTGTGGCTCCCTGATTCCTTTCTCTCTCCCTCCGCTCCCTCCTCACGGCTGCTGCCCTCATTCTCTCGTCCCTTGTCATATCCCTCTGAAGGAATACTTTTTTGAACTTTGGTACATTTGCTAGTCCGCTCGTATTTGCTAACAGGTCCTCTTTTATATTCTCGCTCGTGAATACTACCTTTATCAATTGGTCTATGTCCTTGTTATACTGTCTGAGCCTTTAAGGATCTCATTAACTTTGCTTTTGTCCTTGTCTCTCCACTCTACTGGACCAGTTCCTGTTTGCTCCTTAATGCCTACTATTACTACCCCTCTTTTTTGCTCTATCAGTCGGCTAGTACATCTAGCTGCTTCCTGAGAAGAAGCCATTTCTATGGCAACTTCCCTTATTGCAGACCTAGCTTCAGGGCTCTTTTAAAATTAGTCTGCAAATGAGGGTTGTATTGTAGAAGTCCCCTCTACAGGAACATTACCATTTCCCTGAGGGATGGTTTGTGTCTGGTATTGGGGGAGGATTCTCTTTCAGGTTTCTTATTTCCTCCTTTGCTGCCTTCAACTCATCCTGCGGGTTGGATACTGTCTCCCTCATTACCCTCAATCCTTCACTGAATTCTCTCCACATTTGTTTGATACTTTCCCTAATCCAGGCATCCTGTCCCTCTCCTTCCTCTGGGTTTGATTCTGCCATGTTTGTCCTCCTGCGTTTATCCCCCCCCCCCCCACCCGAGTTTGTCTCTCTGACATGTTTTTTCCCAAAGAGAGAGAGAGAGAGAGAGAGAGAGAGAGAGAGAGAGAGAGAGAGAGAGAGAGAGAGAGAGAGAGAGAGAGAGAGAGAGAGAGGAGGGAGAGAGATGGGAGGAGAGAGAGAGAGGGAGGATGGGAGAGAGAGAGGAAGAGGAGAGGAGAGAGAGGAGAGGAGAGAGAGAGAGAGAGAGAGAGGAGAGGGCAGGAGAGATGGGGGAGGAGAGAGAGAGAGGAGAGAGAGAAGAGAGAGAGAGAGAGAGAGGAGAGAGAGAGAGAGAGAGAGAGAGAGAGAGAGAGAGAGAGAGAGAGAGAGAGAGAGAGAGAGAGAGAGAGAGAGAGAGAGAGAGAGAGAGAGAGAGAGAGAGAGAGAGAGAGAGAGAGAGAGAGAGAGAGAGAGAGAGAGAGAGAGAGAGAGAGAGAGAGAGAGAGAGAGAGAGAGAGAGAGAGAGAGAGAGAGAGAGAGAGAGAGAGAGAGAGAGAGAGAGAGAGAGAGAGAGAGAGAGAGAGAGAGAGAGAGAGAGAGAGAGAGAGAGAGAGAGAGAGAGAAGGGAGAGAAAGAGAGAGAAGGGAGAGAGAGAGAGAGAGAGAGAGAGAGAGAGAGAGAGAGAGAGAGAGAGAGAGAGAGAGAGAGAGAGAGAGAGAGAGAGAGGGAGAGAGAGAGAGAGAGAAGGGAGAGAGAGAGAGAGAGAGAGAGAGAGAGAGAGAGAGAGAGAGAGAGAGAGAGAGAGAGAGAGAGAGAGAGAGAGAATCAGGGTTAAGGAAACTCTGCCCATCTGTCTTCGCTCGGTGCGGGGATCGAACCCCGGTCCCTAGGTCCACAAGCCCAGAGCGCTGTCCACTCGGCCACCCAGCCCCCGTGTGTGTGTGTACTCACCTAATTGTGCTTGCAGGGGTTGAGCTCTGGCTCTTTGGTCCCGCCTCTCAACCGTCAATCAAAAGGTGTACAGGTTCCTGAGCCTTTTGGTCTCTATCATATCTACACTTGAAACTGTGTATGGAGTCAGCCTCCACCACATCACTTCCTAATGCATTCCATTTGTCAACCACTCTGACACTAAAGAAGTTATTTCTAATATCTTCTGTGGCTCATTTGGGCACTCAGTTTCCACCTGTGTCCCCTAGTGCGTGTGCCCCTTGTGTTAAATAGCCTGTCTTTATCTACCCTATCAATTCCCTTGAGAATCATGAATGTGATGATCATGTCCCCCCTAACTCTTCTGTCTTCCAGCGAAGAGAGGTTTAATTCCCGTAGTCTCTCCTCGTAGCTTATACCTCTCAGCACGGGTACTAGTCTGGTGGCAAATCTTTGAACCTTTTCCAGTTTAGTCTTATGCTTGACTAGATATAGACTCCATGCTGGGGCTGAATACTCTAGGATTGGCCTGACATATGTGGTATACAAAGTTCTGAATGATTCCTTACACAAGTTTTGAATGCCGTTCTTATGTTGGCCAACCCGGCATATGCCGCTGATGTTATCCTCAAGATATGGGCTGCAGGGGACAGGTCTGGCGTGATTTCAACCCCCCAAGTCTTTTTCTCTCTCTGATTCTTGAAAAATATCACCTATCTTCATTACATTACATTTGCTTGGGTTAAACTCTAACAACCATTTGTTCGACCATTCCTTCAGCTTGTCTAGGTCTTCTTGAAGCCTCAAGCAGTCCTCGTCTGTCTTAATCCTTCTCCTAATTTTGGCATCGTCAGCAAACATTGAGAGAAATGAATCTATGCCCTCCGGGAGATCATTTACATATATCAGAAACAAGATAGGACCGAGTACAGAGCCCTGTGGGACTCCACTGGTGACTTCACGCCAATCTGAGGTCTCACCCCTCACCATAACTCTCTGCTTCCTATTGTTTAGGTACTCACTTATCCACTGGAGCACCTTACCAGCTACACCTGCCTGTCTCGCCAGCTTGTGTACCAACCTCTTATGCGGTACTGTGTCAAAGGCTTTCCGACAATCCAAGAAAATGCAGTCCGCCCAGCCTTCTCTTTCTTGCTTAATCTTTGTCACCTGGTCGTAGAATTCTTTTAAGCCAATCAGGCAAGATTTACCCTCCCTGAACCCATGTTGGCGATTTGTCACGCAGTTCCTTCTCTCCAGATGTGTTACTAGGTTTTTTCTCACGATCTTCTCCATCACCATGCATGGTATGCAAGTCAAGGACACTGGCCTGTAGTTCAGTGCCTCTTGCCTGTCGCCCTTTTTGTATATTGGGACCACATTCGCCGTCTTCCATATTTCTGGTAGGTCTCCCGTCTTCAGTGACCTACTGTACACTATGGAGAGTGGCAAGCAAAGTGCCTCTGCACACTCTTTCAGTACCCATGGTGAGATCCCATCTGGATCAACAGCCTTTCTAACATCCAGATCCAGCAGGTGTCTCCTAGCACAGTGACCTCACCTTGTTCTATTGTGAAGACCTCCTGGAACCTCTTGTTAAGTTCTTCACACACCTCTTTGTCATTCTCTGTATACCTGTCCTCACCTGTTCTAAGTTTCATTACCTGTTCTTTCACTGTTGTTTTCCTCCTGATGTGACTATGGAGTAGCTTTGGTTCAGTCGTGGCTTTGTTTGCTATATCATTTTCATAATTTTTCTCTACTTCTCTTCTCACCTTAACATACTCATTCCTGGTTCTCTGGTATCACTCTATGCTTTCTGGTGTTCTGTTATTCCGAAGTTCCTCCACGCCCTTTTGTTCAGTCCCTTTGCTTCCATACATGCCTTATTATATCATGGATTCTTCTTTTGCTTCTCGGATTTTTCCCTTTGGGCCGGGATGAACCTGTTTACTGCTTCCTGACACTTTTGGGTAACATAGTCCATCATATCTTGTACAGACGTAGCTCTGAGGTTTGTATCCCTAGGTATTTCCCTTAGGAAACGTCTCATTTCCTCATAGTTCCCCTTTCGGTATGCCAGCCTTTTGTTTCCTAGTTATTTTTTGGGGGATATAATTCCTAGCTCTAGCAGGTACTCAAAGTTCAATGCACTGTGGTCACTCATTCCCAAGGGTGCTTCCATCTTAACTTCCCTTATATCCCACTCATTTAGGATAAATATCAGATTGAGCATGGCTGGTTCGTCTTCTCCTCTCATTCTTGTTGGTTCCTTGATGTGCTGGCTTAGAAAGTGTCTTGTTGCCACGTCCAGCAGCTTAGCTCTCCATGTTTCAGGTCCTCCATGCGGATCTCCGTTCTCCCAGTCTATCTTCCTGTGGTTGAAGTCTCTCATGATTAGTAGTCTAGATCCATTCCTGCTGGCAACAGAAGCTGCTCTCTCTATTATGTTAATGGTGGCCATGTTGTTTCTATCATATTCCTGTCTGGGTTTTCTGTCATTTGGTGGTGGATTATATATGACTACGACTATAATTTTTTGTCCTCCAGTTGTTCATCTATCACTAACTACCAGCCTGCCAAAGCTAACAACACCACGACAAACCATCTATAATCCTTACCACACCCTTCCAGACGTCAAGAGAGACCTCACACGTCACGGGAATGGTAGCTACAGCATGGGCTTCGGCTCCACAGTGCTTGCTGGGTCCTCCACAGCCTCGCCACTCCTGGTAGGTGTAATTATTCAATCTCAATTCTCTCCATACATGCGTTAAGATCTGTTGATTCGTGATTTTAATAACTGTGGAAGTACTTTTTAAGAAATATTACGCTATGTGGTAAAGTGTAATATATTTGTTTTGAGTAATTTACGGTTTCTGAGTCTCCCAAGTATGACTAATGTGTTTACGAGAATGTCGGTGTTTACAAAACAATAACACATGTTTGCAATATTGTACTGATTGTCAGCTACAAAATATTTTGTGTGCAGGCGGGTCATGTATATTAACTGTATACCAAACATATGATATATCTTAGTATATATGCAGATAGGTGTTCGAAAACATGTATGTGTATATATGGGAAGATATTTGACGTCAAGAGCAGGTCCCTCCCTTATTTCTCCTCTCTAATTATTAATCCATTTGCTGATTCACGCCCAAAACTACCAAAATATAGCACTAATTATCCAAATAATTGTATACATAATAATTTAGCACAGGGGCGGAGAGGGAGAGAGTCAGTTTAGTGCACGTGAAGAACTGGTCAGATTTGGCATCAAGGGTCTCCAAATACGAGGCTCCGAGGACCTTTATACATCGTTCAAACAGTAATTTTAGCAAAGGGATCATGGGAAAATAATGATGTCATTGTGAAATTCGTTTAGTAGCAAAGAATGTGAGGCGGGAGATACCTCTACACCGGAAGCCAATTAAGACACAAGCAAAGCCGTCACGTCTGAATTCTGAATTTACCTGAAGGCTGCTAGTGGCCTCGATGAGGACAAGGAAGCCGGGGGGTTGTCAAAGGTCCCCCCATTTGCCCTGACGATCTTTTCCAGCTGTATTTTAAAACCCAGCAGAGTTTTGTCGTTTACGGCATCGGCGGGTAGGCGGTTCCACGGGTTTACAACTCGATGGGTGAAAAAGCATCTCCTGTTTTATGTCCTACATTGTGGCTTGTTGAGCTTGAACCCGTTCCTCCTTGTTTGTGTTATATCTGACCTTCTGAAGAAATTGTCCTGATCGATATCCTCCAAACTGTTCAGTATTTTAAAGGTTTCGATGAGATCCGCCCTGTCATGCCTGGTCAGCAGTGTTGGTAGCCCTGTGGCCCTCAACCGTTCCTGATACGGGAGATGACTAAGCTCTGGGCTGATTTTTGTTGCCCGGTGTTGCACCTTCTCCAGAGCAGCTATGTCTTTCTGAAGATAAGGTCTCCATGCCTGCATGCAATAATCCAGGTGGGGCGCACCAGAGACTTATACAACTGAACGACTACTTTCTTTTCCTTGAATTATTTAAAGGCACACTTGATTATTCCCAAGATTTGGTTAACTTTTTTTTTACTTTTTTTTTTTGTTAACTTTTTCACTTGTTGTACAACTTTTAGTGAATGATGAATTCCGACTCCAAGGTCCTTTTCTTCATCTATCTGTTGCAAGGTAGTGCTGTCAATTTGGTAGTTGTGACGTGGATTGTTGTGCCCCACATGTAAGGTCTTGCATTTACCGACATTAAAATGCATTTAACATTCATCTGACCATTTGTGGAGTTCATGCAGATCTCTTTGTAAGGTCTCAATATCACTTTCACTTCCCACTTTACCATAGATCTTAATGCCATCTGCAAATTTGATGATGTGATTTGTAATGTTCTCATCTATGTCATTGATGTATATGTGACAAAAAGGATTGGCCCCAAAATGAACCCCTGTGGCACTCCACTTAGCACATTTCCCCAGTCAGATTCATTCCCATTTAGCACGACCCTTTGTTTTCTATGTTTTAACCATTGTTTTATCCATTCCGGTATTCTCCCATTTATTCCATGTGCCTGTAATTTCCTTGCCAGTCTCTCATATTGAATCTTGTGAAAAGCTTTAGCAAAGTCCATGTGAGCTACATCTACCGGAAGTCCTTTGTCTGAATAGATTGTTACGGTGTCCAGGTTTGTAAGGCAGGATCTATTTTTAATAAACTCATGTTGCATTGATTTTACAAGATTGATATCTGTGAGATGTTGTATGATTTCCTCCCTGAGGATTCTCTCCATGAGCTTGCCGATGTGTGATGTCAAGCTGATCAGGCGGTAGTTTTCTGCCGAGCTCTTTCTGCCTTTTTTGAAAATAGGGGGTAACATTAGCATATTTCCAATCCAAGTGAAACTATCCCTTGGTCCAGGGATTTTCTGAATAGGAGTTTCAGTGGTATTCATAGTGCATCTATCAGTTCCTTTATGAATTTGGATTGAAATCCATCCACACTTGGGGTTTTTGAGTCTTTTTAGAGTCTAGAGTTTGTTTCTATTCTTACACGGATATATACACCGAAAAATATTCCCCGCTACTCGATGCGTATACATTGAGTATACATTAGTCTTGGACTATAATGAGGACTTATGTACATATTGTTGTGGGTTGATCAATAAGCTAATGTGATTTATGTGAATGACGGAGAATGTGTGTTTGTTTGTCCAAGGATGGAGGGAAGATGCTTTGGGCTAGACTCACTCAACTTTTCTGGATGACACATAGGTGGTGAGGGCTATCAAAGGCTGGTTGGAGTAGGACCCATTGCCTCCCTCTAAGAACAACATCGTGGCTGAAGAGTTGATATTCAACCCACAGTTGAAAGTGAAGAGACAACGACGTTTCGGTCCGTTCTGGACCATTATCGAATTATACGAATTGATAAATGTTCAGGACAGACCGAAACTTCGTCGTTTATTCATTTTTTGTTGTGGCTTGGATATCAGGATTCTGTTAAAGACAGTGCAACCTGTTCTCTTGAATAGCACATCATATTTTGACTTATAAATCAATTAAACTGACAATGTCAAGCAAAGTTAACATTGTCGCGTTCTATGTGTGGGTCCTCAGTTAGGATAAGTTCAGGGAATTTAGTACATCAGTGTAGTGACGGTGGGAACGATCGAGAGGGCAGGCTACAGAGGGACTCTTATGAAATCCGAAAATGTGGTTTTGCTTTCCATATAGTTTTTCAAACATTTTCAACTTCATAATATCTCTTCACTCCTACAACGAGCCCGTCCTCACAGCAAATCTATTACCATGATAAACCACACCCCTCATTCAAACCGCCTGGATAGTTATCTAGATATTTGTGATGATCTGAAAGCATATTACAGATCCAGTAATAGTCTACATGTAGACTGGCAGATGAACCCTTGTCATAAAGAGAGATTATTCTCGTTATAACTTTTTGTATTATAAATTGTTGGTTTAAAATATAAAAAATATATATTGAAAATGTTTTCTTTGAAGAATTTGGTTTTCTGTAAATGGAATTCTCGTGCATACTGAAATAGTTTTCGAATTCCATATTTCACATTATCATTAGTAATACATGGTATTAACGTAACCAAACACAATGAAGCTTAAAGTAACCTAACCTTAACTTAAAGTAACCTTAACCTAACCTGGAATGAGCAGCTGCTCGATTGCTGTGCTGCTTTACGTTTGGTAGGAGCGAGGCAGAGTTTGGTATAGCTAATCCAGAGGAAGCCGCTGAACCTCGTGGTCCTGGGAAGAGAGTGGTCAACTGTGGGCTTCACCGGCAGATATGGGACACCTAGGAGAGTCTACAACTGTTGACGTGGAGTGTGTAACATCGGAATTGGTGTTCGGGTGTAGTGAAGCTGTCAAGTAACATGATCGAGTGTAGTGAAGCTGGCTAGTAACATGATCAAGTGTAGTGAAGCCGTGTAGTAACTTGATCAGGTGTGGTGAAGCTGTAAAGTAACATGATCAAGTGTGGTGAGGCCGTAAAGTAACATGATCGAGTGTAGTGAAGTTATAAAGTAACATTATTGAGTGTAGTGAGGCGGTAAAGTAACATGATCGAGTGTAGTGAGGCGGTAAAGTAACATGATCGAGTTTAGTGAGGCCTAAAGTAACATGATCGAGTGTAGTGAGGCCTAAAGTAACATGATCGAGTGTAGTGAGGCCTAAAGTAACATGATCGAGTGTAGTGAGGCCGTAAAGTAACATGATCGAGTGTAATGATGCTGTGAAGTAACATGATCAAGTGTAACGAGGCCGTAAAGTAACATGATCGAGTGTAATGATGCTGTGAAGTAACATGATCAAGTGTAACGAGGCCGTAAAGTAACATGATCGAGTGTAATGATACTGTAAAGTAACATGATCAAGTGTAATGAGATCTTGAAGTGACAATAAGAACCCTCGTACAGCTTCTCTTATCATTAAAAACACCATATCCACCTCTGACAAACAGAAGTGTACCATTGGAGTATATGAATATAAATGTAATTCTGTAGACTCTACGCTCGGCAGTGTATGTTATATTGGATACGGTACTAACACTCCGAGTACTCCGAGTAGGCATCTCGCACTCCACTTGTTGGAGGGAGAAATAAAGCAACAACGCATCCAACCCGTCCTCTTAAAAATAACGTCGCTTTTCGCTCGTATGCGCGCTATGGCCAAATTTGGACGTAATTTGAAATGAAATCGGCTCATAAAAGTGACGTACTGTTCCGTTTTCTGTTTGAGTCGTCCGGCATACTCAGAAAGGTTAGGAGAAGAAACTTTCAATTAACGTTTTTTATAACTTTTTGAAACTTTATGAGAATTTCCTGCCCACCTAACCTACCAGAGGACCATTAACTTACTGTTGTTGAAAAAAAATCCCGAATTTATTTTTATTTTGTTTTTATTTTCAAATTACGTCCACTTTAGGCCATACTGGTAAACGGCCAAAAGCGACGTTATTTTTAAGAGGACAGATTCGGATGATCCCTGAATCGTCAGGACATCATAAAGACCACCACAATGATCACACTCACCAGTGATAGAAGGAGACTGCGGACACTGGAGGCCAATGTTATCACGAGCTTGTCCCATTAATTAATGCTCAAATGAATTTAACATCGAACGTCCAGCTGTTTAACGGCCCACCAGTAACACAGACGGAGACACTCATTAGATACGTATCACCTAATCCTATAGTTCGTCTCTTTCTACACTGAATGACTACTGAGATACCATGTACGTTAGTGTGATTTCCTTCCGGGATGACAACTCATTAACGGTGGGGGGGGGGGGGGGAGGGGGGAGAGGGGGGGGGGGGGGGGGGGGGGGGGGGGGGGGGGGGGGGGGGGGGGGGGGGGAGAGGGGGGGGGGGAAGAGAAATAGCCTAAGCTACTCTATCCCTTTGAGATGTATTTTCTTGTCTCAATAAACATACTTCAACTTGAACTCATTAACAAAAGGTATGATGGCGTGGTGTGAAACCGACACACACATATAATTATACTACTAATAATAATGCAGTGTGTCTGGGGACAGGCAGCCAGAGTGTATTCATATACGTTAGGCTCCCCAAGGTCAAATTACTGACCCCGCCCAGGATGCAACCCCTCAACAAGCTGACTGACTCCTGAGTACCTACTAACTGCTAGGTGAACAAAGGCATTAGGTGATAGGAAATGTCCCAACAATTTCTGTCCCGCCCAGGATTCGAACCCGGAATTCTCCATTGTGGGTCGAGAACGAACCCGACAGTACTACCGAGACCCTAAACATATGTATGTTCTTGCATGTAATTTCAGTGTACTTGTGTTGTGTGTACCATGTCTATATTCCTGACGCCACGTTGCTGACGAAACGTTGAACTAAAACAGGAAAACTAAATGATGTAGTGTTTCTTCACCCTCTAGACTGTAAGTCTAGATTCCAGAGGGTGAAAAAGCGCTATATATATACATATACATATATATATATATATATATATATATATATATATATATATATATATATATATATATATATATATATATATATATATACATATACATACATATATATATATACATACATACATACATACATATATACATACATACATACATACATACATACATACATATGTATGTATTTATATATATGAATGGGGAAGGGGAGGGAATTATCAGGGGAAAGCGCCAAGCCATTACGACTATGTAGCTCTTGGATTGGGTCAGGATAAGGATTTGGGGTGGGACGGGCGGGGAAGGAATGGCGCCCAACCTCTTGGACGGTCGGGGATTGAACGTCGACCTGCATGAAGCGAGACCGTCGCTCTACCGTCCAGCCCAAGTAGATCACTTATAGTGACCTTCTACCATTCTAGAATCTAGATGGTAAAATGTATCTACATGGAATAAAAATAATCATACAAAAATGCAAATGAATTTATTGTGTTGAGTTCAATTCCACTTACACACACATATACACATATATGTATATATAAATAACATCCAGACGATGTATGTATATACAGACGTATCAAATCAGGTACTTTATGCCCGTGGTTTACAGATGTGCGCACCGCGGGCGTCCTACTTTTTCAGGAGAGGGACCCATCACTCCGTCATCCCCGAGGGCCAGTGTCTGCTCCTGCCTGCGGGCGCCCACTCGCCCTTGAGGCTGCGACCCAACACAAGTGAGCCTCGACATGCGTCTTATCCCTCTAGTACTCAGTATTTATATCACTGTTGATGTTTTGTGTTGTTCAATTGAGTGTTATGCGATGGCGTACTCCCTCTGGGTCGCCGTTCTGGAGTCTGGTTTTGATTTAATAGGGGATGTAAATTGGTGATGTATTAGGTGATGTAAATTGATGTAAATTAAAAATTCATGTAAATTGGAGAGGGAGGAAGAGAGTGAGGGAAATCTTTAACTTTCATGTCACTAATACAACAACTATTTTTTCAGCCGATGTCCGATACTGTGGCTTCAGCGCCGCCTTTGGCAAGGTAAACAACGTCTTAACCATTAATATCTTCCATTATTATAACAATTTATGAACGGTAAGTTTTAATTATGCAATTCAGATCTTGGAAGAATACATATTGCAGCAACACAATAGGGCTGGCATGGGGGGTTTGCAATAGACGATTCACGTATCGTAGAGGCCTACCAGTATGCTGTGAATTACTCTGGATATTGGGGCATGGGAAAGCGGTTATCTTAGATATTCTACAAAATTACCATCAGCCGATGAAGTTATCTGTGTAAGTGATTGTGAAGTTGGTGGTGCAAATGTGGTTTAGTGGACACTGGATAGGTAAAGCTGGCTATTATTAGTGAAGTACATTGAAGAGCTTATGAGTAAAATATCTATGGTAGATACAAATAAATTTTTTTATTGTTGCCGCCGGAGGCGGCTAATTTATTGTGCACCCCATACCCATCCTGTGAGCGGTAGTGCAAAAAGCATTACAGAGGGCACAAAAGGTCTTTATCAGACCTTTTTTTTACTGGAAACTATTTTTTGAAAATAAGGAAAATCACTCGGCCTATTAGACAAATCTGGCCTTGCCCAGTAGGCTGAGAAGTGCATTCTGGCTTCTAGGTTCGACATATGTTTATATATATGTATATGTCGTACCTAGTAGCCAGAATGCCCTTCTCAGCTTACTATGCAAGGCCAGATTTGCCTAATAAGCCAAGTTTTCATGAATTATTTGTTTTTCGACTACCTAACCTACCTAACCTAACCTAACCTAGCTTTTTCGGCTACATAACCAAACCTAACCTATAAAGATAGGTTAGGTTAGGTTAGGTAGGGTTGGTTAGGTTTGGTCATATATCTACGTTAATTTTAACTCCAATAAAAAAAAATTGACCTCATATATAATGAAATGGGTAGCTTTATCATTTCACAAGAAAAAATTAGAGAAAATATATTAATTCAGGAAAACTTGGCTTATTAGGCAAATCGGGCCTTGCATAGTAGACTGAGAAGTGCGTTCTGGCTACTAGGTACGACATATATATATATATATATATATATATATATATATATATATATATATATATATATATATATATATATATATATATATATATATATATTATTAAATATGACCGAAAAAGTAAGATTAATAAAGAGAACCAAACTTCCCACAACCAAACCATCGCCAGAGAAATCCTAGTAAACAACACAGAAATCATCGATAGATACAGCGATAGCAGGCGGCTTGACGTTTGCGAGGCACTACACATCAAGAAGTCAACACCAGCAATCAACAGCCAATTATTGCACAACTATATTCTACCCACCTCTAGACTCCGCTCCAATATAGAAGCATCAAGAAATATGGACCAATAGGCTTTCTACAAACACTTCTATTCAATACCCATTGTTTCGTGCACTTTCTTGTGTTGATGAAATTAATACCCTATTAATACCACCTCTTGTTCTGTCTTGTGTTGATGAAATTAATACCCTATTAATGCCACCTCTTGTTCTGGCTTGTGTTAATGCCACATCACCCCTTCCACCTCACTCAAATGTAGATATAAAATCGGAGATGCATAAGTTCTATTCAGTTGTGTATTTGTGAACTAAAGTCTTTGAAAATGTAATAAGTTTTACGAAACGCGCTCGTGTCGCGTCAGACTAGAAATAAAAATGAATTTTGGAGAATTGATTTTTGATTTACCTCCAACAGTGAAAAGAAATGTACGAAAGATTGAGAAAATTCGTGTTAGAATTATTAATCTTACTTTTTCGGTCATATTTAATAATATATGTCTACAGGAAAGACTGCTACCAAAATATACTAATATATGTATATATATATATATATATATATATATATATATATATATATATATATATATATATATATATATATATATATATATATATATATATATATATACCAAAAGAATAGGGGTGGTAGGAGAAGAAAATATCAAAGTGTTCAGTGAGGATCCACAAGGTCTTCTCTGAGTACTCTTTATTTTCTTCTCCGAGGCTATGGGTCCCTCCCTACACTTGCACCAGAGGTGGTACCCCTTCTAGGGTTTTATAATATATATATATATATATATATATATATATATATATATATATATATATATATATATATATATATATATATATATATATATATATATACATATGTCGTACCTAGTAGCCAGAATGCACTTCTCGGCCTACTATGCAAGGCACGATTTGCCTAATAAGCCAAGTTTTCCTGAATTAATATATTTTCTCTATTTTTTTCTTATGAAACGATAAAGCTACCCATTTCATTATGTATGAGGTCATTTTTATTTTATTGGAGTTAAAATTAACGTAGATATATAACCGAACCTAACCAACCCTACCTAACCTAACCTAACCTATCTTTATAGGTTAGGTTAGGTTAGGTAGCCGAAAAAGTTAGGTTAGGTTAGGTAGGTTAGGTAGTCGAAAAAACAATTAATTCATGAAAACTTGGCTTATTTGGCAAATTGGGCCTTGCATAGTAGGCTGAGAAGTGCGTTCTGGCTACTAGGTACGACATATATATATATACACACATATATATATATATATATATATATATATATATATATATATATATATATATATATATATATATATATATATATATATATATATATATATATATATATATATATATATATATATATGTCGTACCTAGTAGCCAGAACGCACTTCTAAGCCTACTATGCAAGGCCCGATTTGCCTAATAAGCCAAGTTTTCCTGAATTAATATATATTTTCTCTAATTTTTTTCTTATGAAATGATAAAGCTACCCATTTCATTATGTATGAGGTCAATTTTTTTTATTGGAGTTAAAATTAACGTAGATATATGACCGAACCTAACCAACCCTACCTAACCTAACTTAACCTATCTTTATAGGTTAGGTTAGGTTAGGTAGCCGAAAAAGTTAGGTTAGGGTTAGGTAGGTTAGGTAGTCGAAAAAGCATTATTTCATGAAAACTTGGCTTATTAGGCAAATCTGGCCTTGCATAGTAGGCTGAGAAGTGCGTTCTGGCTACTAGGTACTTATTAGGCATATATATATTGCATAGTAGGCTGAGATATGCATTCTGGCTTCTAGGTATCGACATATATATATATATATATATATATATATGTCGTACCTAGTAGCCAGAACTCACTTCTCAGCCTACTATGCAAGGCCCGATTTGCCTAATAAGCCAAGTTTTCATGAATTAATGTTTTTTCGTCTACCTAACCTACCTAACCTAACCTAACCTAGCTTTTTTGGCTACCTAACCTAACCTTACCTATATATATAGGTTAGGTTAGGTTAGGTAGGGTTGGTTAGGTTCGGTCATATATCTACGTTAATTTTAACTCCAATAAAAAAAATTGACCTCAAACATAGTGAAAAGGGTAGCTTTATCATTTCATAAGAAAAAAATTATAGAAAATCTATTAATTCAGGAAAACTTGGCTTATTAGGCAAATCGGGCCTTGCATAGTAGGCTGAGAAGTGCGTTCTGGCTACTAGGTACGACATATATATATATATATATATATATATATATATATATATATATATATATATATTAAATATGGCTTGACGTTTGCGAGGCACTACACATCAAGAAGTCAACACCAGCAATCAACAGCCAATTATTGCACAACTATATTCTACCCACCTCTAGACTCCGCTCCAATATAGAAGCATCAAGAAATATGGACCAATAGGCTTTCTACAAACACTTCTATTCAATACCCATTGTTTCGTGCACTTTCTTGTGTTGATGAAATTAATACCCTATTAATACCACCTCTTGTTCTGTCTTGTGTTGATGAAATTAATACCCTATTAATGCCACCTCTTGTTCTGGCTTGTGTTAATGCCACATCACCCCTTCCACCTCACTCAAATGTAGATATAAAATCGGAGATGCATAAGTTCTATTCAGTTGTGTATTTGTGAACTAAAGTCTTTGAAAATGTAATAAGTTTTACGAAACGCGCTCGTGTCGCGTCAGACTAGAAATAAAAATGAATTTTGGAGAATTGATTTTTGATTTACCTCCAACAGTGAAAAGAAATGTACGAAAGATTGAGAAAATTCGTGTTAGAATTATTAATCTTACTTTTTCGGTCATATTTAATAATATATGTCTACAGGAAAGACTGCTACCAAAATATACTATATATATATATATATATATATATATATATATATATATATATATATATATATATATATATATATATATATATATATATATATATATATATACCAAAAGAATAGGGGTGGTAGGAGAAGAAAATATCAAAGTGTTCAGTGAGGATCCACAAGGTCTTCTCTGAGTACTCTTTATTTTCTTCTCCGAGGCTATGGGTCCCTCCCTACACTTGCACCAGAGGTGGTACCCCTTCTAGGTTTTTAAAATATATATATATATATATATATATATATATATATATATATATATATATATATATATATATTATATATATATATATATATATATATATATATATATATATATATATATATATATATATATATATATATATATATATATATATATATATATATATATACATATGTCGTACCTAGTAGCCAGAATGCACTTCTCGGCCTACTATGCAAGGCACGATTTGCCTAATAAGCCAAGTTTTCCTGAATTAATATATTTTCTCTATTTTTTTCTTATGAAACGATAAAGCTACCCATTTCATTATGTATGAGGTCATTTTTATTTTATTGGAGTTAAAATTAACGTAGATATATAACCGAACCTAACCAACCCTACCTAACCTAACCTAACCTATCTTTATAGGTTAGGTTAGGTTAGGTAGCCGAAAAAGTTAGGTTAGGTTAGGTAGGTTAGGTAGTCGAAAAACAATTAATTCATGAAAACTTGGCTTATTTGGCAAATTGGGCCTTGCATAGTAGGCTGAGAAGTGCGTTCTGGCTACTAGGTACGACACTTCTCATATATATATAGCCAACACATATATATATATATGACCGAACCTAACCAATATATATATATATTTATAGGTATATAGGTAGCCAAAAAAATATATATATAGGTTATATATATATATATATATATATATATATATATATATATATATATATATATATATATATATATATATGTCGTACCTAGTAGCCAGAACGCACTTCTAAGCCTACTATGCAAGGCCCGATTTGCCTAATAAGCCAAGTTTTCCTGAATTAATATATATTTTCTCTAATTTTTTTCTTATGAAATGATAAAGCTACCCATTTCATTATGTATGAGGTCAATTTTTTTGTTATTGGAGTTAAAATTAACGTAGATATATGACCGAACCTAACCAACCCTACCTAACCTAACTTAACCTATCTTTATAGGTTAGGTTAGGTTAGGTAGCCGAAAAAGTTAGGTTAGGTTAGGTTAGGTAGGTTAGGTAGTCGAAAAACAATTATTTCATGAAAACTTGGCTTATTAGGCAAATCTGGCCTTGCATAGTAGGCTGAGAAGTGCGTTCTGGCTACTAGGTACGATGGTATATATATATATATATATATATATATATATATATATATATATATATATATATATATATATATATATATATATATATATATATGTCGTACCTAGTAGCCAGAACTCACTTCTCAGCCTACTATGCAAGGCCCGATTTGCCTAATAAGCCAAGTTTTCATGAATTAATGTTTTTTCGTCTACCTAACCTACCTAACCTAACCTAACCTAGCTTTTTTTGGCTACCTAACCTAACCTTACCTATATATATAGGTTAGGTTAGGTTAGGTAGGGTTGGTTAGGTTCGGTCATATATCTACGTTAATTTTAACTCCAATAAAAAAAATTGACCTCAAACATAGTGAAAAGGGTAGCTTTATCATTTCATAAGAAAAAAATTATAGTAAATCTATTAATTCAGGAAAACTTGGCTTATTAGGCAAATCGGGCCTTGAATAGTAGGCTGACAAGTGAGTTCTGGCTACTAGGTACGACATATATATATATATATATATATATATATATATATATATATATATATATATATATATATATATATATATATATATATATATATATATTGGTAGCAGTCTTTCTTGTAAACATATGTTGTTGTATATGACCGAAAAGGTAAGATTAATAATTCTAACATAAATTTTCTCAATATTTCTTATGTTGTTCTTCACTATCGATGGTAATTGAAATATCAATGCTCCAAAATTCATTTTTATTTATTGTCTGACGCCTGAACGCGTTTCGTAATTTCTTATTACATTTTCAAAGACTTAGTTTACACATACAAATTCATCGTACTTATACTCTTTTTGGGTGAGGTGATATGGGATAAAAGTTTTGTGTGAGGTGATAAACACAAGATAGAACACGAAACAATGGGTATAAATTGGGTATGAAAACATAGGAATGGAAGTAACTGCAGAAGGCCTATTGTCCCATACCACCTCTTGCTGCTTCTCCTCAACACATCAAGCAAATGTTAAATCCTGCGGTTGGTGATGCTGCACAAGATCTTCTTATGGAACTCACAAGGTTCGTCAACATGTGTCTGGCTGGTGATATACCTGAGGTCATCAGGGCTCTCTTTTTTGGTGCCTCCCTCTGTGCTCTCAAAAAGAAGGACGAGGGAATCAGGCCAATCGCTGTTGGCAACACTCTCCGACGCCTGGTTGCCAAGGCTGCTACGAGGGTTGTCAGTCAGCAAGCGGCTGAATTGCTGAAACCAATTCAGCTAGAATTTGGGATCCTCCAAGGCTGTGAAACGGCTGCTCATACAGCACGAACATACATCACCAACATTTCTGACGAAAAGGCCCTGCTCAAATTGGACTTTAGGAATGCCTTCAACATGGTCAGAAGAGATGCAGTACTTTGTGCCGTACATCGCCATTTCCGGCCCCTCTATCCGTAACTCTATTAGCTTTGCCGGCAGACCAGACGGAATCACACTGCGCCCTTGGAAGGGTGGCAGACAGTTGGCATGGGACTATATTTGTATATCCACCCTGGCAACCACATACATCAACCTCTCTGCCGGCCAGGCAGGAGCCGCGGCGACACACAAAGAAAGATACAAGTCAGCCAACTACAGGGAATTAGATCATTCGTTTCAATAGGATCTGAGACCCTAAGTTCATGGAGAGAGAGTGCAAGAAGGTTTCTTAAGGATCTTGGTTACAGCCTCAGCTATGACATAACACTCAGCAATAATCTATTATGAGTACAATAAACAGCTTAGTATTGTTGATATTTCTATTACAGCTTTAATTAGTATCATTAATTATTTGTTACTATTAAATTATTCTTATTATTAACAAGAAGATTATTGAATTAATTCTCTTGTTTCTATTGCTATAAAAGTAATTATCATTATTATTATTTACATTATTGTTTTAAAATTTTTAAATTACTTTGTATTTAACTAGTTTTGTATTTTTTTAATTATTAATTGAATGATTATGTCTTCAGGATGAGAGAGTGGTGTACCTCGGGTGTCCCAGCACTCTTGATCAAAACACAGGTACGTGTACCCGGCTCTTCTTTCCTTCCAACTCTTGCCCTTCATATCAGGACCTGTGAGTAGAGGAAGCTGCCGCTGGGCTGTAGAGTCATGCGGGGCATCTCTTGTTTATACCTAACCTAATTGTTACCCAACCACTTGGGGTGGATGGTAGAGCGACGGTCTCGCTTCATGCAGGTCGGCGTTCAATTCCCGACCGTCCGCAAGCGACTGAGCACCATTCTTTCCCCCCGTCCAATGCCAAATCCTTATCCTGACTCCTTCCCAGTGCTATATATTCGTAATGGCTTGGCGCTTTCCCCTGATAATTAAAAAAATAACCCAACTGTTACATATATGTGTACAAGGTGGGATTCCCGACTGTGCCTGGGGCGACCCCATCTGTCTGTACTCACCTAGTTGTACTCACCTAGTTGTGCTTGCGGGGGTTGAGCTCTGGCTCTTTGGTCCCGCCTCTCAACTGTCAATCAACAGGTGTACAGGTTCCTGAGCCTATTGGGCTTTATCATATCTACACTTGAAACTGTGTATGGAGTCAGCCTCCACCACATCACTGCCTAATGCATTCCATTTGTCAACCACTCTGACACTAAAAAAGTTCTTTCTAATATCTCTGTGGCTCATTTGGGCACTCATTTTCTACCTGTGTCCCCTAGTGCGTGTGCCCCTTGTGTTAAACAGCCTGTCTTTATCAACCCTGTCGATTCCCTTGAGGATCTTGAATGTGGTGATCATGTCCCCCCTAACTCTTTTGTCTTCCATCGAAGTGAGGTTTAATTCCCGTAGTCTCTCCTCGTAGCTCATACCTCTCAGCTCGGGTACTAGTCTGGTGGCAAACCTTTGAACCTTTTCCAATTTAGTCTTATGCTTGACTAGATATGGACTCCATGCTGGAGCCGCATACTCCAGGATTGGTCTGACATATTTGGTATATAATGTTCTGAAAGATTCCTTTCAGAAAGAGGCAGCATACTTGGCCCTCTCCTCTTTCTCATCTTCATTAATGACCTTCCAAATGCCTCTCAACACCTCAAACCAATTTGCTGATGACACAACTTTCATTTTCTCCAGTCCTGATCCTCTTGCTCTAAATGCCACGGTGAATTCTGAACTAAATAAAGTCCATCTTTGGCTAACTGCTAACAAACTCACCCTTAACACTGACAAAACTTTCTATATTTTGTTTGGTAATAAATCTTCAAATGAAATAAAATTAAGAATAAACAATATACAAATCAGTAGTAAAGTTGATGGTAAATTCCTTGGTGTCCTCATCGATAACAAGCTGAATTTCTAGGAACACATTCTAAATATAGCAAAAAAAGTTTCGAAAACTGTTGGCATTCTTTCTAAGATCAGATATTATGTACCCCGCCCTGCCCTGGTGACGCTCTATTAATCTCTCATCTATCCTTATCTCAACTATGGTATTTGTGCTTGGGGTTCTACTACCCAAAATTATTTACGTCCTCTAATTACCCAACACAAAGCTTCTATTAGAACAATTTCAAATTCTGGCCCCAGACAGCACTCGGTACCCTTACTCAAATCTCTGAATATGTTAGATATTAAGTCACTGCACATCCTCTCATGTGTACTCTATATATTTAAAACTCTGAATTGTAACGTCAGTCCTGACCTTAATAGCTTCCTAGAAGGTTGTAACAGAACCCATGGGCACCGCACTAGAAATAAATACCTATTTGATATTCCAAGAGTACTTAATCAAACTAGATATGCTCTACAAATCAAGGGACCCAGAATGTGGAATGACCTTCCCAATCATGTCAAAGGCTGTACCTCCCTCAACCAGTTTAAGATGAAAACTAAGCACTACCTAATTAACTCCATGTAACCTACCTTACCCCTAAATGTCAACCCATGTCTTACTATTTTTTTAAACAATGCTGTTTGTTGACCAACTTGTAAATTGGCTATTTTCTTCCATGTTCCCCCCTTTTTTATCTTTTTTCTTTCAACGCAATTTATACTTTAAGCTCAATTACTTTTAAGTTTTGGTCGAAGTGTTTTTCCCCCACCTCACCTTGCCCGAAACGCTATGCATACTATTGGCTTTAGGTATTGTATGTACTTCCTCTATCTATAAATCAATCAGAACGTCTGTAACTGAATCTATGTATGAACTTTCCCTAAATAAAATATTATTATTATTATTATTATTATTATCTGGGAGGGGCTGAGGCGGCGCCAGTCGCCTTACTTCCTTCTTACCTTCTTTCTTTTCTTTCTCTTTCATACCTTCTCCTTTCTTCATTTCATGTGTGTAGGTTAAAGACCCATTATTTTCAGCTACATTGTTATGACCCTCTGTGACTCGTGGTGAGCTGTGTCACAACCGACAGAACATGGTATACTCAAACTCCCTAACTTAACCCAACCACACATGCATGGAAAACGTGAACGTTAGTGAGCCGCTATGATTTATAGTACATCATATTTTGTCCGTTGTGGGTGGGGAGGGGGGGGGGATGGACTCCAAAACGCGATGAATTATTCAAAAGGGCCGTTTGAGCCTAGATGAGGGAAGGGGAAGGGGGAAATATCAGGGGAAAGCGCCAAGCCATTAGACTTCACTTTATGATATAGTTACACATAAAAGACTGATTAAAAGATAGAGGCTCATGGTATTGGGGGTGCTATATTAAGCTGGATTAGCGCTTGGCTGTACCAAAGGAGTTAGTATAAATGGGGTTAAGTCAGAGTGGGAAAATGTTGTAAGTGGAGTGCCTCAAGGCTCTGTCCTGGGACCTCTGTTGTTTATAATATATATAAATGATTTAGATTCAGATTTGAGCAGCAACATTTGCAAATTTACTGATGATTCAAAAATCGGGAGGGAAATAAACACGGAAAATGACTCAATATCACTTCAAGGCGATCTAAATAGGGTTTTGAAATGGTCAAAATATTGACAGATGCAGTTTAATGCTGATAAATGTAAAGTTCTGAGGCTAGGTAATGATGATAGAGTTACAAGATACGAGTTAGGTGGTGTTGAGATTGCGAAGTCGGATTGCGAAAGGGATCTGGGAGTTATGATTAGTAAGAATTTAAAATCAAAATAACAATGCGTAAATGTTCGTAATAAGGCAAATAGGACACTGGGATTTATTAATCGAAGCGTTAGTAACAAGACACCTGGTGTGGTTTTTCAGCTATATCTAGCTCTGGTTAGGCCCCATTTAGATTATGCAGTTCAGTTTTGGTCGCCGTACTTTAGAATGGATATCAATTCACTTGATGAGGGAATACTGACCAGCGTAGGATGACAAAGTTCATTCCCCAAATTAGAAATCTGTCATATGAATAAAGATTAACAAAGCTTAAATTGCATTCACAGGAAAGGCGAAGAGTTAGGGGTGACATGATAGAGGTTTACAAGTGGATGAATGGACATTACAAAGGGGATATTAATAGGGTATTGAAAGTATCAACACAAAACAGAACACGAAACAATGGGTATAAACTGGATAAATTTAGATTTCGGAAAGACCTGGGTAAATACTGGTTCGGGAACAGGGTTGTTGATTTGTGGAACCAGTTGCCACGTGGCGTGGTGGAGGTCGGGTTCCTTGATTGTTTCAAGCGTGGGTTGAACATGTATATGCGTGGGATTGGGTAGTTATAAATTGGAGCTGCCTCGTATGGGCCAAAAGGCCTTCTGCAGTTACCTTTATTCTTATGTTCTTATATAGCACTGGAAAGGGGTCAGGATAAGGATTTGGGATGGGTCGGGGGAAGGAATGGTGGCCAACCACTTGAACGGTCGGGGATTGAACGCCGACCTGCATGAAACGAGACCATCGCTCTGCCGTGAACCCCAAGTGGTTAGGCTTAGATGAGGGAGAAGATCTGTCTTCACTGTTACAGCCGATAAAAACCTCTATGCTTTTTTTTATAGGCTGAGTAGGACCGATACATTCAATAGACCATATCAGTTACCCCAATGTGGAAGATTGCTTGCCTGTTCTTTTGTAGTAGTTGTTCTTGTCTGTTCTTACCTGGCTGTTCGTACCTGACTGATCTTACCTGGCTGTTCTTACCTGACTGTTCTTACCTGGCTGTTCTTACCTGCTGTTCTTTCCTGGCTGTTCTTACCTGGCTGTTCTCACCTGGCTTTTCTTACCTGGCTGTTCTTACCTGACTGTTCTTACCTAGATGTTCTTACCTGGCTGTTCGTACCTGGCTGATCTTACCTGGCTGTTCTTACCTGACTGTTCTTACCTGGATGTTCTTACCTGGCTGTTCTTACCTGCTGTTCTTTCCTGGCTGTTCTTACCTGGCTGTTCTCACCTGGCTTTTCTTACCTGGCTGTTCTTACCTGACTGTTCTTACCTAGATGTTCTTACCTGGCTGTTCTTACCTGGATGTTCTTTCCTGGCTGTTCTTACCTGACTGTTCTTACCCGGTTGTTCTTACCTGGCTGTTCTTACCTGGCTGTTCGTACCTGGCTGTTCTTACCCGGCTGTTCTTACCTGACTGTTCTTACCTGACTGTTCTTACCTGGCTGTTCTTACCTGGCTGTCCTTACCTGGCTGTTCTTACCTGACTGTTCTTACCTGGCTGTTCTTACCTGGCCGTTCGTACCTGGCTGTTCTTACCTGGCTGTTCGTACCTGGCTGTTCTTACCTGGCTGTTCGTACCTGGCTGTTCTTACCTGGCTGGTCTTACCTGGCTGTTCGTACCTGGCTATTCTTACCTGGCTGTTCTTACCTGGCTGTTCTTACCTGGCTGTTATTACCTGGCTGTTATTACCTGGCTGTTCTTACCTGGCTGTTCTTACCTGGCTGTTCTTACCTGGCTGTTCTTACCTGGCTGTTATTGCCTGCCTGTTCTTACCTGGCTGGTCTTACCTGGCTGTTCGTACCTGGCTATTCTTACCTGGCTGTTATTACCTGGCTGTTCTTACCTGGCTGTTCTTACCTGGCTGTTCTTACCTGGCTGTTCTTACCTGGCTGTTATTGCCTGCCTGTTCTTAC